AATTTCTTTACTAATTTTGATTTTGCATTTTGTCACCTACCAAATAATCCTTTTTGACAATTTGTATTCATCAAGTAACAGATTAAGTTGTATTTTTTTTTTTTTGGTAAACCTTATCCTCGTGTAGATTTAACAGATTTATATTGGTTGTCACTATGGTTGAACATGAGACGGATACTCTCAAATTTTGAAGTACATGTTATGCGATTCGACCTTGACGGATATTTGAAAAATAATATACTTACCCGATCTGCAAAAAACAAGTACCCTATTCAACGAGCATCCGGCAAAAATTTATTGATCCGTCGGATATCCGATCTATTACCATTACCCGCCTATTTATAATATAATTCATCTATAATTAAAGTTAAACAACTTATATACCAAATAAACAAATAAATTATTACAAAAAGGAAAAACAAATTCTTGATATGCAACATATAGTTCATAAATATAAAATTACAAACTTCAAAATTTAAAACTTGTAATCCATCTTCTCCAAAATCATTGATGACAATTCAAAAACACAAAAATTGATGTTGCGAGTATTTATATTATACTATATATTATATAATCCATTTTATAACTGATTTTATCAAATATTAATGATATAGAATGCAAGTATTTATAGTTTGTCTTCTTGCCGATATGGAGTTACAATTCTTTTTTTCAATTCCTTTGTAGATGACCTGCGCAGGAATCAAAATCTGATTGTGTAAACATTATTTCTTTGTTTCCATAGATGGAAAATTGTTGTTTGGGTAACTAATTTCCGCAAGAGAGAAGATATCAAAATTATAATACTCTTTTCGTTTCTTAATATATGATGTTTTGGTTTAAAACACAAAGTTTTAAAAGAAAAATTATTTAAAAAATAAAATATAAACAATTCAACAAATTAAAAAAAAATTGCATAATACTATTGGTTACACAATATTCAATGAAGGTAAAAGTTACATAGAAATCTGAAAATATTTTATATTATAAAACAAAAACAAAACTTCTAACACATTATATATTAAGAAACGGAGATAGTACATTTTTTATCCGACTCGAACGTTAAGGATATCCTATTTTTGAGATGGATACGAGCCAGTTAACAGGTAAATAACGGGTAATGGATATTTGTGTCCATCCCTAGTTGTCACCATGTTTCATGCAACATTAGTATTTTAATCAGTCTAAAGTTAATGTTTAATTCCTATGAGTTACTAAATAAACAAACATT